TAGAAATTACTTGAACACTGTTTAAATCCAATCCATGTGGAGACAATAATTAAACTATACTATCTTTGAATAGAGAGCATCAATTTCGTGTTGTATTTTGTGCTCGTCGGTAGAAAAAGTGTACACACAATAAGAAGGCTTGGACTATCATGAAATACCAGTTGCCAAAATGGTAACTGTGAGAACAGTGATAGCAATTGCAGCATCAAAAGCTTGGGAACTGTGGCAAATGGATGTAAACAATACTTTTTTACAAGGGGATTTATTTGAAGAAGTATACATAGATCTGCCACAAGATTTTCATATACAAGGAGAGTATAAGGAGTGTAAACTCCTCAAGTCACTATATGGCTTGAAAAAGGCTTCACGACAATGGAACATCAAACTCACTGATGCCTTGATAGAAGCAGGCTACAGTAAGAGGTCCTATGACCATTCTCTATTCACAAAATGGGCTGGAGATGATATATTCATTGTCCTAGTGTATATAGATGATATTCTCATCACAGGAAGCAATAAGAAATTAATTGAGGAAGCTAAAGATACACTTCATAATAGGTTCAAAGTGAAAGATTTAGGACAATTGAGGTATTTCCTGGGAATTGAGATTTTAAGATCAAAATTTGGGATCTTACTCAATCAAAGGAAGTGTGCTTTAGAACTACTAGCTGACATTGATCTAAGTGGATCTAAGCCTACTAATATACCTTTAGAGATGAACCTCAAACTCACAACTGTTGAGTATGACACTCATATGGGAAAGTCTGATGATGAACAATTGACAGATGTTGTTAGTTATCAGAAGCTAGTGGGAAAATTGTTGTATTTAACTATTACCAGGCAAGATATTAGTTTTGCGGTGCAAGTACTGAGTACAACCAAAATTATCACATTGGAGTGCAGCTTTGAGGTTGGTAAGGTATATAAACGGGTCACTTGGACAGGGAATACTTTTGAAAGAGATTCAGATATAGGACAATTGGTAGCCTTTTGTGACTCGGGCTAGGGTGCTTGTCCAAATACAAGGAGATCAGTAGCAGGTTATGCAATCAAGCTAAGAGAGTCCTTGATATCTTGGAAATCCAAGAAGCAGCAGACTATAAGCAGAAGCTCAGCTGAAGCTGAGTATAAAAGCATGGCAGCAACAGTAGCTTAAGTAGTTTGGCTAGAAGGCTTGCTAAAAGAGTTGAGTGTGGAAGTATCAATGCCAATTAAATTGTTCAGTGATAGTAAAGCAGCTATGCAAGTTGCTTCCAACCCAATATACCACAAGAGAACAAAGCATATCAAAATTGACTTCCATTTCATTAGGAAAAAAAATCAAGAATGTGCTGATAACCAGAGTACCTGGGAAGCAAACAACAACTGGCTGATCAACAACTAGCTGTTCTGTTCACTAAAGGATTAGGTGCAGTACAACATCATTATTTGTTATCCAAGCTAGGATTGTTGGATGTATATCACCCTCCAGTTTGAGGGGGAGTATTATAAGTCACGTACCTAGTTAGTTAATTAGAACTACTAGAAATTCGGCAAAAATCGACCGCGGTCTACGGACCAATTTTGGTCGGTCAAAAAACTGACCAAAGTCGGTCGGTTTTTCAAAATATATATATATATATATATATATATATNGCGCAAAAATGCGAAAAACTATTTTTGAGTCCCGCGAAACTTATTTTTTAAGAAATCGACCAACTTTGGTCGGTTTTTTATTTAAAATAAATTAAAATTAATATTTAAAAAAACGACCGCAATCGATCGGTTAATTCTGCCGGTCATTTTAAAAATCCGACCGAATTCGGTCGGTAATTTTATTTTTTAATAAAACCGACCGACATTGATCGGTTATTTTCATGCGAAAATAAGATTAAAGAGTATAAATGAAATAAAAGACAGTCTTAAAACAAAATGCACCAATGGTCTAGTGGTAGAATAGTATCCTGCCACAGTACAGACCCCGGTTCGATTCCCAGAAGGTGCATTTTTTAATTACATAATTAAAATACCGACCAACTTTGGTCGGTCAATTAAATTAAAAATAAATTGCCGAAAATTAAATTAAATTAAAAATAATTTCCGACCAACTTTGGTCGATATGCCCTTCCAACCTTCAAAATACCGACCACACGTTAATGGTCGCGTTTTGAACGGTTATTGGTCATTACCGACCTACTTTGATCGGTTTTGTTTGGACGGTTTTTGCCTAGCTAATGTGCACGTGTGAGATAGTGTATATATGCACTGCTTTTGAACTGAATGGAACAGAATCAGAATTCTCTTTCACATCATTTCTTCTTCTCTCCTCTCGTTATCTTCTAGAATGCGCGAGTAACTGCAATAGAGAATTCCTCATTCTAACACCATATGGTGCTGGAACTTTTGCTGGGGATGGCTCTAGACAGCCATCTGAGCTTGAATTGCAGCAGGCTTTTCCCAAGGAAGTTTTGGGGGTGCAGCCTAATTTCTTCTACAAACATAATATTGCATCATATATTTTTCATTCCGTAAATCTCAACAAAGACAGTCATTGTGTTATCTCTCTGATTGCAAATTTTATTTTTGCTTTACCGGGTATATAATCTATATGCATCTGATTCGGTGTAAAGATGTGTTGTCAAAATCAAGAAAATCGCAGTATAAAATAGTTTGCAAATGCTAAATCTTGGATATTGTTTATCCTAATTGTTAACTCATTTTGATATCTCCTTCACTCATCACAGAAGCTAAGGTATTGTCAAGGACATTGTGGATGTGAAGCATATTTCACTTTTGGTAACTTTGATATGGTTTTGAGTTCTCTTATTGAAGTACGGATCTGCTTATTGGGAACAAATGCAGCTCTTATTTAGAACTATCAACCAGTTGAAAGTAATATGTGACTTCTTGCTGTTAGAACAAGTTACATAGCTCCGAGACTCTAATTTAAAGTGGCAGGATATTGCATTATGTTCTATAACCAAAAAGAAATGAAAATGGTTACCCACTAACTGGGCATTGGCTAAAAAAAATGTTGCAAAATTAGCTTCTCTTTTTCAAAATTTCATTAGTATAATCTAATAATGTTGATGACATACAGCTGCTCTTTATATTATGGATAACAACATCAAGATACTAGGATCTTCAAATCTCAATTTTGCAAAGGATATATAGCTCTAAACTTAGATGACTTTTCAAGGAATAATCTGCATAAGGGTAATGAGCGTGAGACTGTGCCTTCAGCTTTCCATCTTCACCTTAAGTGGCATGAGACTGCCGTATGATTGCCAAATAAACCGTGGCTGATGCAAAAATAAATCCTTGTTTTTTTTATCATCCATCCATCTCCAAACTCAAATGTCCGCTTGTTTGGCAAGATGAATAATGATAAATATTGTTGATAAGTTGCACGTTGGTAATTTAATATTTTATGCTCAAAGCACAAGTTAGTGGGCACCTTAGTAGCTTAATTAGGTGCTTCTGCCTCATTAAACTATTGATTTCTTGCTAATGTGTTTCCTTACACGATAGAAACACCGAACAATCGCTAGTAATACCCACACGATTCCGAGTTTTTAAAACTATTCTTTCTGGAGAAATATTTAAAATATTACGACTTTCTATGGATGCACTCTAATAATGCAGTGGAGCACTCCTTTTAATAGTTAACATAACAAAAATTTAACCTCAAGCTGCTCGTTGAAGTCAATTGAACAACTCTACTTTAACTTGATGCTCCTTTTGGTTGGAAACTACATTTTCTGTTTTTTCTTCAAAGTACAAGAAGTTGAACGTATAGGTACTTTTATTAAAGAAATTCCTATGAGCTTAGTATTTCCTGTATCAATTACATAATATGACAAGTTTTAACACCGACTTCATTTGCCTAATTTTTCCTATATATTTATTTAATTATATGCATTCTTTAATTTATTTTTATGGTAAATGGATGGAATTCATGCCATGAACTTGGAGAGAAACAAGAGAACAAGCATCTACATGACCCTTTACAATATCATTCATCTAAGATTAAAAACACCAACTTTGTGTACTGAAAAGTAATGAAACTCTTTAAATTTTGTCTTTAATATATTTATCAGCAAAAAAAAAAAAAGGAAACTAATAAAAAGTGAAACAGAAAGGGAGGAACTCGTGGTTATACTTCTTGGATACTAATACATAAGAATATCGAATTGGCACTTCACAAAGCACAATGATGGTGATGATTGCATTTATGCTATCTTTTTGTATTCATTAAGCTTCTAAGTAAAGCTAATAATGTTTGCCCACACAATTTTCCATAAATATAGATATTCTAAAGTACATCATGCCAATACTAAAAGTAGCCTATCACTAAGCTTGTGAATACGCTAGTGTTCGAGTAAAATTATGGTACATCATCAAGTCTAATTAAGTTTTAAGATAATCACCAAGTGAAATCTATTTAACAAAAACAAATTCACATCAAATAAAGCTATTTTCCTATTTCTTCTTTGTTAACAAATACTTGAATTTAAAGAGTCTTGAATTTTGATGGACCAAAAGGGAAGCCGGCGCGCTTCACCCAAAAAATAATGGAAAATTTAGGTGACTTTTCATTCTGCTAGGTTATTGTTGGGTTTTACAAAAGTTTTCTAATAGACATTTTAAATTTATTGGATTTCCTAATTTTTTTTAATATTTTCATTCTTCACTATATATCTAACAAAAGACTCAGCAAACTACGGGAACATGATGGCTGGTTTTAGAAAATGAATGAAGATGCAATATAAACTAGTGCAAAAGTTAAAGGAGAAGGGAATGAAGAATTGAGTTCTGGCTTCTCTTTGCCTTCTAATGGAAGCAGTTCAATGTAACCATTAGACGAAAAAGCAGAAAAAAGAAAAACATATCAATTTCTCCTTCACCAACATCCTTCCATTACTCATTCAAAGAATATGTAAATTAGAAAGAAAAAAGAAGTCCGAAAATCCCTAAAAGTTTCACTAACTTATTCCAGACATATACATATAAAAAACAAATGGAAAGTTAGATTTCCAATCAAATGAATTATTCCTTCATTTCTTTTGTTTTAAAGTAATGGTAGTGCCAGCTATATGCACAAATAACAGATATAAACAGCTAGCGCTAAAAGCTCCTTTTATCCCTCATTTCAACTAAATTCAGCTACAAACAAAATTCCTTTTTGTAAACTAACTAGCACAATGAGAAAAAAAACCTTTTTGAATTTATCATCCCATTCCTAACGAGTAATCAACTAGATTTGATCATAATTATTCTTCAATAATTACAACCCCCCTAGTCGCATACAGTGGTCCCAAATATTGGCCAAAGCTGCATCATTTTGCATGAGCTGGTCCATTTTTTAAAGGGTCACTTCCTTTTCCTTCTCTTTTTGCTTTCTTTATTTTTTGTTTTCCATCATCATCATCATCATATGCCTGGACCTGGAATGCTAGTACTGTCAAATATATCGCCCCATTGCTGCTGCTTTTTTTCTTCTTTTTGGCCCTCCTTTTCATTCTCATCCCCCACTTGTCTAGGGTTTTGATAAGATCCTAGGGATGACCAGTGGAACATATATACAATCTGTGCTTGAGTTTACGTCATATACACCGTCAGTCAATAGTTTTTTTTTTACAAACAGATTACCTGCTATAATAAGTAAAGATGACCTGATGTAAAATTTTCTTAGACTACCGGTGTATATAACTTAAAATCAACTCTTTGTGTGATTAATTTATCTGTTGTTGCCTTCTTGTCCGGGCCTCTTCATTATCTGAATGTTCCTCCAAATGTTGGTGTCCAAAAATCTACTGTTGTTTCATGAGTTACGGGAAAGGTGCTAGAAACTGGGACCAAACATAATCCTCGACCTCTAAGATCTTGCTTTGCTACTTCTGGATTAACATTGGATTTATCACTAGTCTGCAGGCAGAATTTGGATAAACTACTTTTATTTGCAATCCACGATTAATAGTTTCGGTTTAAAGTAGCACTATTGAAGAATAACATGTAGTTTTACCTGCTGATGCTGCTGCATGGAAGCTCCACTTTTCATGTATGGGGTGCTTAAGACCTGTTATGTGACATGGTTAAAAGAAATGCTTAATATCAATGTGGTATAGTTTGTTATATTGGAAATGTAACTACATATTATTAAAGCTTGTCCATTCTTTTCCTATTCGAGATTAAATTACTTGTCCATATTATATATACTTCCTCATCAATCTTAATTTATATGACACACGTTTCTTTTTAATCCGTCCCAAAAGATGATATTTTTTTTAGACTGTCCCAAAAAGACTAACCATTTTCATAGTATTTAATAACAACTTAATTTTAAACTTCTCATGTTACCCTTTTTGAGATGATTAGCTAATTTGTATAACGTGTTTTAAACTATAAGTTTCAAAAGTTTTTCTTTAATTTGATCTTTTTTAAACTATGTGCTAAGTCAATCACAAAGATTAGGACGGAAGGAGTAATATTTATGTATATATATATATATTGTTCTTGGGGACTTGAAAATCAAAAACACTCCTTAATTATATTTTATTTTCGTTATTTTTAATAATTACTATTAGAAGTTAATTTGCAAAGGATACATATGTACTGAAAAAGTTCAAATCTTTTATGCAAAATTACACGAAACAACCGGACAATTACTCTTTTGAGATATTGATAATATCAGGTTGTAAACCTATTACTATTTGAGAGCTAAAAAAAGTTTTTTCTTACCATATTTTTTTTGCAAATATTTTTAAAATATTTTAAATTATTAGTTATTCTGACTTATAGCACTTTTTATGTAGTTTCTAAATATGAAATTTTATTTCAAAAAAATTGAAAATTCTATGTTTGAAGTCACGCTGAAAATTAGTCAGTTTGACTTCGTACCTCAAAAAAATCACAATAGATAGAGTATATTCTTCTTTCTTTCCATGTCAAATTCTAACCGGGTATTGACTATAATTAAGATGCAGCATTTTCTTTTAGCCTCATCTTAATTGAATTCATTAATTTTATTGGTTTCGAGGTTCTTATCAAACTTGTTAAGACTCTGATCAAATTAACTTGCACTGAATTAAAGGAAAAGAATAGCTATCTAGAACAAAAGCAAATTGAACAAATAAAGGCTAACTCTGAAAAACTTACATTGACTTGCTCATGGAGGAATTTTATGTATTCAATCGCTTCGGAGAGCACAGAAGCTGTATCAGTCTGGGGAAAAACAAAATCAAGATTTAATGAATGAGAGTATCTTTTTGGTGAATTCAGAAAGTTACTTGTCTCTCTCAATATACAGGACATATGGTATTCTACTAAGTATTCTTTATGTAAAGTGAAAGAAATTTCAGGCGCAGCTTTAATTTGTTACCTTTCCAAAAGGTGAGACTAATTGTTGAAGGGTAGTGATTCTGTCTCCCATCTTTTCTTTCCTCACCTGAAAAAAAAAAGAACAAAGAAACATATTCTCATATAACGCTATATGTGATAGAACAAATTTAACAAATAAATCCAAAGGCTCTATGTTGTCGTTAAAAAACTCATGAGAATTCATGCACATATATACCTTAAAAGCTGGCATTTGAGATGGCGTTTCATTCCGTGGTCTCTTATTTGACGTTTCACTGCTACTTTTCTTTGCTATTGTTCTTATATTCCTAACTTCAGCTGTATGCTGTAGCACGATGAATGAATCAATATTAGTACTACATGTTTGTATGAATTTACCAAAAGGAAAAATCAAAATCTAGTTACTACTCCCTCCTTCATTTTTATAGCACTCTTCATTTTTTTTTTAATCTGCTCCCAAAAGAATGATAACAATACTATACTTAAGAACATTTTTACTTTACATTTTTTATTTACTTCGAATGACATGCTCTTACAGCGTTTAAGATGACTAGTGATAAGGAGATTTTAACTGGTATATGTCAAAAGTATTTCTTTATTTCTTAAATTTTGTTGTTGTCACATAAAATGAAACGGAGGCATACTGCTATGGATTCCATTACCTTAGGTTTCATATCAACTGTTGGGTTGGGCAGCTGCTGATGTATAGATGGGAGGAAACCTGAGCGAACATCTTCCATGGCAGCTGACGTGGCATTCCAGAAAGGAGTGCCCGAGAAATGCGACTGGCCGTGAGGCGGCGGCAGCGGCCACTGCTGTTTCGGAAATTTAGACCAAGAAGAAGAAGATGATGAAGTAGGCATTACATCAGCTGCTGCAGGATTGACGTCACAATTCGATGGGTTATAGGGAGGATAATATAGCGATCTAGCACTTGTAAAGTTGGATTCTTGCTGACTATCAGATATTAAGAGTCCTTGTAACATATTTGAAGGACTTCCATATGGTGCGTTATCAAGATTCGAGCTCATATTTGGAGCATTAAATACTGGTTGATGGTCTAAAGAAATACCCCGGTCCATTTGTTTATTATTATAGTCATTCACTGAAGAACCATCAGAATTCCCAGGATATATTTTCTGCGTCCAATGATGATCTTGCTGACTCGATCCTTCTTGCTGATAATTTGGATCCGAGCTCAAGCCTTCTTCAAGTATGGAACGAAAACCACTCCCAGCTTTGTCACCTCGGCTGCAAAAAGTGAAGAAAACAGAATAAAAAAAAGTTAACCCAAGTGGAATCTTCATATGAAATTAGTGGAACATCAAGTTTATCTTGGTCGGACAAGCTATAGAGTCAGATGGAGTGTATATTTATGAATTAAACTACTCCTATACGTAAAAAATCACTAAAGTTTTTAATATATATTCAATAGAATTTTAATAAAAAACTTTAGATTGAATCTGTCAAGTTTAAATCAGGAAACTTACAAGAAAGGTTGGTTCCAATCAAGTCCTTGGGATGATAGACCTAAGCCCACGATTTGCAAATTTGGACCACCAGATAAAACGCCTCCTCCGACGGAAGATTCAGAGGCGTGAAGTTTCTGGGAATCAGCCGGAAAAACCATAGAGCTATTATCAGACCCCGACACAGACATGGGATTCAAGGAGGATTTAGCTTTAATATCCTCAAATTCTGTCTGCCAACAACCAAAGTTGTTTGCCATGCTATTTAGTGCGGTGGATACTGAAGGCATAGTAGTAGATGATAATATTCCACTTTCAAACTTATTATTCCTAGACGATGATGTTGATGATGATGATGACGACTCCCACCAGTTTCCTCTACCTAGTTGAAATTCTTCTGCCATGGCTCCTTTCAAGATCACAAAAGTTGAAAAAAATTGAAAGATTTTCAACTTGAGCTAATAAATTACAAGCACCTTATAAAGTTTTTCCTTTTTTCTCTGGTACGTAATGACCAAGCTAGAATAATAATAGAGCTAGATTCTTATATTCTAGAATTCGCTTTGCTTTACTCGATGGCTTTAATTTGTTGTTTGGCTCTTGTTTTTTTTCATAAAAGAAAAACTGAAAATTGAAGTGACTTCGTTTCGCTGCGTAAAACTATTTATAGTACCCCTAACTCAAAGTGGGAAACTATTTTGAGTTTCTGAGATTCAGAAATGACCACAATTCGGTTGACTTTTCGTGACTGATTAGACAAATGAAAGGGTACTCACGCACCTTTTAGGAAGTCGAATTTTAATTTCCTGCTTAGCCAAATAGAATTAAGTATTTAGTTTGCTTTTACCTTTGCTGAATTAAAATAAGAAATAAAACTTATTTTCCTATTTTAGTAGTATTATCTTTTATAGTCAGCAGCACTCGTGCCTTTTCTCCTCTGCTTTCACTTTTGACTTTAAATTATTTTCAATTTGGGGGTTATGTATTTGCTTCAAAAGCTAACAATGCCAAACAAGCTTTCGCATGGACTGTCGAGTCAATATACCATTGATAGTAGCAGACAAAAGTTTACACGTCATACCCACAATATTCTTTGGCCGATGTTCATAATTAACAAAAATCATTAACCGCATTTAAAGTAAAACTCTATTATTCTCTGATTTATAAGCCACACCACTATTTTCCTTAAACAAATACGAGAGCATAAACCTAAACCAAGCAAGCATGCGGACTATATTATTTCAGCAAAACGAAGGGGATAAATTAGATGTCTTATGTTTGAGTCATGGGAATAAAGTTATCTTTGGTAAGGAATGTTTTGTTGTAATATGTATTCGAAAGTATAATTTCTGCAAAATAAAATGAAACCAGAAACTAAAGACACAAATAGAATGAAATGAATAACGTTCCGAGCCCAACAGAAAACTGTGTTTCGTTAAGGAATTTAATCCCCTCACTATTGCCCAAGGTTGTTGGATTAATTCCTCCCATAATAGAACGGAACAACTATTCTGTAATACCGACATTGAAAATTACATAACTTCGTCGAACTCAACAAACGACAGTAAACCACACTGATGCTTACGTTTTTTTCTTTTGGAAGACATGCAAAAATGCAGGAGAGAGAGGGGAGAGTATGCAAATTTTTGGTGGTCAGAAAGTGAGACCAAACCTTTGAATTTATAGCCAAGTAGTCTGGGTTGAATAGGTGCGAAAGTACCTGCTCACATGAGGTACTGTTTCGGCAGAAATACTTTTCTGTTTGATCGCAGATTCAAAAAATGACCGTTAGTCGTTAGAAAATTATCCGCGAAACAAAATCCGGGCGAAAATATCAGGAAAGAAAAATGAATAACGGAAAACGGAAAATAAATTTGGATCAATCATATCAATTGACCAAATCCAAATCCGAAGCTGAGCCAAGCGAGCAACGACGACGACGCGGGGCACCAGTTCTTCTTAACTCTTTAAGAGCTAGAAGATGTGCTTCTCTATATAAGCACAAAGATTTTCTTTCCTTCTTCTAATGAGGGACAAAGTGCATTAGTAAAGAAAATTATTTCAAACTTTTCGTTTCCCTCCTAATCTTTTCCCTCAATTTCTCATTCACACCTCTTTATCTAATTAGATAAAAAAACCAACAATCTCCCACATGAATGGGGAATGACTATCTAAAAATATGCATGCATGAAAAATTGTGTGATTTACAAGCAAGGATTAATTGCATCTGGATAAGTAGGTTTCCCTTTAAACTTTTCATAGTGAACTTATGTCGGATATACTCGGTCAATCGGTAGATTTGATATCTTTGAACCGTCGAACTTTGGTGTATACCTAGACAGCCATAAGTCACACAATCAATCCTTTAACCGCCTTTGGTTCTTATTGTTGTGTTCGTTTCAGTCATGAACACCGCTTGGTTCATAAGTGCGTAGAGAACTGGCCTTATAGAATTCTCCTTGAAGCGGCTTACACTTCACACTTATATAGGTGATTCCTAAATGTGTTATCCCATAGATACACTATTTGATATACTATGTATCAAACTTAGAAACCATTAAAAAGTCTTAATGCTTTATCCTTGGTACTGAACATTGTCTCATCACGAGAATAGACCAAAATTTTGACAGTGTTGAACCGTCACTAATGACTTTGTTTGATCTCCTTGAACCTAGATCTTTAGATCTCCAGTCTTCTAGGTAGAGTTACCGCTACAGTGACTTGTCCTCGGTCATAGTCCCATTCCCTTCGATGATTTATCAACCGCCTCTCTATTTAGGCCTTTTGTAAGTGGATCCGATACATTATCTTTTGACTTTACTTAATCAATTGTGATAATTCCACTAGAGAGTAGTTGTCTAACGGTATTATGTCTTCGTCATATGTGACGAGATTTTCTGTTATACATAACGCTTCCAGCCCTTCCTATTGCCGCTTGACTATCACAATGTATGCATATAGGAGCCACTGGTTTGGGCCAAAATGGAATATCTTCCAAGAAATTCCAGAACCATTCAGCTTTTTCTCCAGCCTTATCTAAAGCTATAAACTCAGACTCCACTGTAGAGCGAGCAATGCATGTTTGTTTGGATAATTTCCAAGAAACTGCTCCTCCACCAATTGTAAAAATATATCCACTTGTGGACTTTGTTTCTGATGACCCAGTGATCCAATTTACATCACTATATCCTTCAATTACCGCAGGATACTTACTGTAATGCAAAGCATAATCTTGGGTATGCCTTAAATACCCCAAAACTCGTTTCATTGCCATCCAATGAGTTTGGTCGGGATTACTTGTGTAACGACTCAGTTTACTTACTGCACAAGCTATATCAGGATGTGTACAATTCATGGTGTACATTAAACTTCCCAACACACGAGCATAATCCAGTTGAGATCTACTTTGACCTACATTCTTTGTAAGAGCCACATTTACATCAATCGCGGTCTTTGCGACTTTGAAATCTAGATACTTAAATTTTTCAAGTATCATTTTAACGTAATGAGATTGAGACAATGCTAGTCCTTGAGGAGTCCTATGAATTTTAATTCCTAGAATTAAATCAGCAACTCCTAAGTCTTTCATATCAAACTTGCTAGCAAGCATACGCTTAGTAGCATTTATATCTGCAATGTCTTTTCTCATTATTAACATGTCATCAACATATAAACATACAATGACTATATGATTTGGAGTGTTTTTAATGTAAACACATTTATCACACTCATTAATCTTAAATTCATTTGCCAACATTATTTGGTCAAAATTTGCATGCCATTGTTTGGGTGCTTGTTTCGATCCGTAAAGTGACTTAACAAGTCGGCACACCTTCTTTTCTTTTTCGGGAACCATGAGCCCTTCAGGTTGTTCTATATAAATTTCTTCTTCCAAGTCTCCATTTAAGAAGGTTGTCTTCACATCCATCTGATGGATTTCAAGGCCATACACGGCGGCTAACGCTATTAACACCCTAATAAATGTAATCCTCGTTACTAGTGAGTATGTATCAAAATAATCAAGACCTTCTCGTTGTCTAAACCCTTTGACAACTAATCTTTTCTTATATTTGTCAATAGTACCATCAGCTTTTATTTTCCTTTTGAAAATCCACTTAGAACCCAAAGGTTTATTTCCTGGAGGAAGATCAACCAATTCCCAAGTATGATTACTTAATATGGATTCTATCTCACTATTAACTGCTTCTTTCCAATGTTGTGCTTCCGAGGAAAACATTGCTTCTTTAAACGTTTGAGGCTCATTTTCTAACAAAAATGTCAGAAAGTCTGGTCCAAAGAAAGTAGTTGTCCTTTGATATTTACTACGTCTTGGATTTTCCTCATTAAACGTACTTTCCTTTTCTTCTTCTCGAGGTCGCTTAGATTTTTCAATAGATTACTTACATTCATATTTATACGGATAAATATTCTCAAGGAATTCAACATTATCGGATTCGATTATCGTATTAATATGAATGTCGGGATTTTCTGATTTATGAACCAGAAAGTGATATGCCTTACTATTTCTTGTATATCCTATGAAAACGCAATCAACCGTTTTAGGTCCAATCTTTACCCTTTTGGGTTTAGGAATTTGCACTTTAGCCAAACACCTCCACACTTTAAAATATTTTAAGTTGGATTTCCTACCTTTCCATTTTTCATATGGAATGGATTGCGTTTTGTTTTGGGGAACTCGGTTGAGTATTTGATTAGCTGTAAGAATAGCTTCCCCCCACAAGTTCTGGGGTAAACCCGAACTTATCAACAAAGCATTCATCATCTCCTTTAACGTTCTATTCTTTCTTTCCGCAATTTCATTAGATTGCGATGAGTAAGGGGCAGTTATTTGGTAAATAATGCCATATTCCAAGCATATTTCTTCAAAAGGAGATACATATTCACCACCGTATCACTTCTTATCATTTTGGTCTTTTTGTTTAGTTGCGTTTCAACTTCATTTTTGTATTGCTTGAATGCCTCAATTGCTTCATCTTTACTATTAAGCAAGTAAATATAGCAATATCTAGTACTGTCGTCAATAAAAGTTATAAAATACTTTTTCCCACAGCGAGATGGTATTGACTTCATGTCACAAATATTTGTGTGAATTAAGTCTAAAGGATTTGAATTTCTTTCAGCCGACTAATAAGGATGTTTAACATACTAAGATTCCACACATATTTGACATTTCAAATTATCGCATTCGAATTTAGGCAATACTTCCAAGTTAATCATTTTTCGTATAGTTTTGAAGTGGACGTGACCTAAACGTGCATGCCATAAATTATTTGACTCAAGTAAGTAAAAAGAAGCTTGAACTTTATTGATATCAATAGCTATTACATTCAACTTAAAAAGGCCCTCAGTTAGGTAACCTTTTCCTACATACACATCATTCTTACTTATTACAACTTTTTCAGAAACAAAGACACACTTAAATCCATTCTTGATAAGAAGTTCAGCAGAGACCAAATTCTTGCGAATTTCAGGAATATGAAGAACATTCTTTAGAGTCACAACTTTTCCCGAAGTCATCTTCAAAGTTATTTTCCCAACTCCTTCAATTTTTGCTGTTGCGGAGTTTCCCACAAAGATAGTCTCGTCGGGCCC